CTGTGTGACTTCTTCCTCTTCCCAAAGATGAAAATTCAGCTAAAGGGAAGGCGATTTGAGACGATAGAAGAGATTCAGGCAGAATCGCAGATGGTGCTTGACAGGCTGGCAAAGAAAGATTTCCAGGGATGCTTCCAGGCTTGGCAGCGGCACTGGGGTCGTTGTGTTCACTCCCAGGGGAACTACTTCGAGGGTGATGGATGAATTTAATACCTGAGATAAGTGTACGGGTTTTTATACGCGCAGTCTTGAAACTTTCCGATCGCACCTCGTACTAATAAAAAATCGCCCTTATGACGGAGGCAGCATGACCTCTGAAACGTTGGTGGGCATCTACCAGACTACACGGCGAAACAACCCAGAAGACAGCCATCTTCAGACTCACCACTGTGAAAACCTCAAATCCTATAAGGCATATTCGGTCACCATGACTCGAATTTACAAGCACGCAATTTAAGTTCGTGTTAGTATGATAAGAATGTGTTTAGGGGCAGAAGTACACAATCTTATTCCAGAGAATTCACTCGAAACCCATTTTTTGAAGAGTTTTCAAAAAGTATGAGATCGCGTAATTATTCGAAGGTCATGCTTAAGTAACATTTGATTCCATCAGAATAAAGCATCGTATGAAACTTTCACAGCGAGCCGAATTATTTAAATCCACTGGGCCTATCAGCAGTGTCAAATGGTAAAACCTCTCTGGCGTTTTCGAAACCATGTCACATCAGATGCGCTGATGACGGGGACACAGATGGTCCCTTAAACGTCGGCGAGTATTTACAATTTGAAACAGCTCTTAGAACGACAGGATTTTATTTAATAACGCAGTTTGTTTAACTTCTCCTGGGCTAAAGCGAGGTACTGGTTGATACGTGTTTGTATTCACGGCATCCTACAAGCTAATTTTTAACAAATTCCATTAGAGAAACCAAAAAAAAAAAAAAAAGAAAAAAAGACTAACACTGAATTTCGATCAATTTTAAGGTCAGTTTATATTAGACTACGCAAAATGAAAAGCTGGAATGTAAACAAAATTTCAGACAGACTTTCTTTAAGCAAAACCAAGTGAGACATAAATCGAAGTTGAAGCAATTTTAAGAGAGATTTTCAGCAGACCAAACAAAAGGAGACAGGCTCTGAAGTCAAAATAAATCTTCGGGAACAGATGGAAATTCTCTTCACTGACTTGCCTTCTGGCTAATGTTTAGGCCTGAGGACACATGATGTCCTTCGCGGAATACGAAACTTCCCGTCCTGTTTGCATAAATAAAGAGACCTTGACCAATAACCTAGAAGAAATATGTTTCTAGCTGACATTTTCGAAGAACATGCTACACATTCTTGATTCAATAAATTATTTCAAACACACATCGATTTCTTGCTCCACACTACAGACTATTTCAAGTCAATCGTCAAGTTTTATTCAACATGAAACGAAACCCGTGTCACGGAATGAAGAATTCCAAACTTCCTTTTGGCCAATGTGGAAGAAGACATGTGAAAATGTTGGAATATTCTTCTGTACATCAACCCTTTGAAGTCAAAAGGTCATCTAAATAATATTTAATAATTCAGTCCATACCGCAAAGAAAACACATTTTAACATTACATAGATTAAGTAGTTAATGCTGTTCAAGAAAATAATAATGATTACAGTATCATCTGAAACACAAAATACACAGTTACTGACTTCTAAAGTAACTGGTATATATAGTTACCACTCTGCTTTATATGTTTAGATATGGACTTCAATTTCTATGGCTCGTTCATAGATCATTTAATGGCACTTCAAAAACTGCAGAAATAATTGTGCTAATTGGACAGTGGATAAAGTTTCTGAATTAAAAGAGGGCATATCCTGTTTCAAACTATGCTGGAATTTGTCTAGAGTGACTGAGAAAATCTAGGTGTCAGCTTCAACAGTGATGCTCAAACCGGAATTCAACACGTAAAAAATTAAAGTCACACTTACTGCTACTTGAAGTATTATTACTCGGTAATAAATTTGTATATGTAGATAACATTACTGTAAAATATGAACCTTAAATAACTCGGAACTAACTCCATTCAGGCATTTTACAGCAGAGCAACTGTTCTGTCAATTAAGATTGCACTCCTACCAACATCTTCTAACGATGTCAGTGAAAATATCTGTACCTAATCAAAAAAGTGTACGAGTAATAAGTTGTTCCTATTCTTCTAAGTAGAGAAAATATATGAAATAGTTTACCAGAACTCATAACACGAGCAAAGCAGTCATTTCCTCCTCCATACCAATGACGTGAAACAGCGAGTCTTAACCGTGTCACATGCATGGCGTGACGGGAGAGCAGAGGGTTTTGCGAGGACCGGTCCCCCTGTTTTACGAAGACTGTACAATATAAGTAGCAGTATACAAATAAATCTAATATTGCCACCTCCAAACACATTACAACACAAGAAATGACAACATGCAGACACTGGTTCTTGCGGGGATCGTGTGGGGAGAATTTCGAAAAATATGAAATCTTTCAAAAAATCAAAAATGTAGGAAAATGTCCAAAAAGCGCAGAAAACTAAATTTTTTGAAAATTCTGAATTCATTTTTTTGTAAATTATCGAAAAAATTTAGTTATCTTCGCATTTCATGACATTTATAACCATTTTTAAATTTCTTTAAATTTTTGAAAATTTTCAAAGAAGTACCATCGACAAAAATTTTGAAATTTTTAAGATGTCTTCGAAAAATCGAGAATTGTAGGAAGGTGTCCAAAAAGCGCAAAAAACTAAAAAAATTGAAACTTTTCAATTTCTTAATTTTTTTTCGAATTTTTTGAAAACTGCAAGTCAAACAGACGCTGTATTTACCCACAATATTACAAATTATGCACGAAGACCAACTTGAATAATTTATTGAAAATTAACCTGACTTGGGCTACTTAA